TCACTTTTGTTTGAATCTACATCAGCACCCTCAGCTTGGTTATTGGCATTTGAGGCTTCAGTGTTTGCCATATGTTCATCAGCACCCTCAGATGGTTCCATTCTTCAGTCTTCACTTGAATCACTTCTTCAGTATGCAAGAAAAACAGAAAAAATAAAAAATAAGCAACATAGATGACATGAGAAATAAGATTGACTGAATGAGGGAGGCTACTTAACAACATAACAACAGAAAATAAAAATAAACAACATAAAGTAATTATCAGTTTTCACTCATCAACATAGTGAATTAATAGAAAAAAGATTGAAGCATTTTTATGCTTCAATAATCAATATTATGTTGTTAATTATCAGAAAAAAAAAAAAGATTCTGAAATTTTCTTCACAGTTCACACAACACAAAGACTGAGAGAGTCAGATGAAAGGAGAGAGAGACCAATTGAAGCAGCACAATTTTCTGAAATCAAATTGAATCAGCTTCAATAAACAACACATTTCACACTTCACACACTACATACACACAACATAAACTCAAATTTAATTAATTTTTTGACCAATTTTGTGAGGAAGCATAAACTGAAATTTCCTTTTGATAACATCACAAGGTCTGAATATATTTAGGGTTATTGTTAGTAGAAAAAAAATAAAGAAATAGAATCTGTTGCGAGAAATAGAATCCGAATTCGCCAATCCGGAGTATTACTCACAGAGAGGTCAAGAGCAGAGAGAGAGAGAGGTAGATCATAGATGTTCGACTTCGAACAGATATTGATCGCTGCCCGTCGCGGCGAGCCGGCGAGGCTGAGACTTGAGAGAAGAATGAGATGAGAGAGAGAGAGAGAGAGAGAGAGAGAGAGAGGCTGCAAAATTGTGTTTGTGTGTGTGAGACAAATTTAGAATTTCATATTAGGTTTAGAAAATGAGTACATGACCGCTACTATTAAAGTTAGTAACATAAATTCGGCTCGGTTCGGTTAAACCGAATTTATTTTTTCAAAAATCGAACCGAACCGAATAAACCGATGTTTTAAAAAAATGAAACCGAACCGAATTAAGAAATACAAAAACCGAACCGAACAATACTATTCGGTTCGGTTCGGTCGGTTTTTTCGGTTTTATCCGACTAATGCTCATCCCTACTTATAACTAGTTGATCAGCTAGTTTTACCAACCATGACATAATGTGCATAATTTGTTGTTGTAAGAAGAATTAAAAAAATAAAAATATAAAAAAATTGAAAGTTGATTAATGATGATTTGATCACAGAGGCTATATGAATTGGGGGCCCGGCAGGTCCTAGTCACGGGTACGGGCCCGCTCGGTTGCGTGCCCGCGGAGCTGGCGACGAAGAGCAGGAACGGAGAATGTGCGGAGGAGCCTCAGCGGGCGGCTGCCATATTCAACCCGTTGCTCGTTCAAATGATCGCAGGGCTTAACCAAGAAATCGGGTCCAACGTTTTTGTGACGGCTAATACAATGCAAATGCAAAACGATTTCATCAACAATCCGCAGGCCTTCAGTACTCCACAATCACTAATTTTTATTTTTATTAAATAAAATCAATTATTATTTGTGTCAAATAATTGTTGAATTTTTTTTTTTATCAGGATTTGTCACCTCAAAGGTGGCGTGTTGTGGTCAAGGGCCATTCAATGGGGTGGGGCTTTGCACTGTTGCCTCTAATTTGTGCCCAAATAGGGATTTATATGCCTTTTCTTCAGTAATGCTAAGGAAGCAACATTTGACTCTGTTATGGAGCCAACAACCAATTGGACAATTTCATGTGGGACTGTCCCACATTAAAGTATTGTGGAATAGCCCCACATGGAGTTGTCTCATTGGTTGTTGGCTCCGTAACGGAGCCAACTGTTGGCTCTTTAGCATTATTGGCCTTTTGGGACCCATTCCATCCAACTGAGAAGGCCAACAGAATTATTGTTGACACAATTTTGACTGGTTCAGATAAGTACAAGTCTCCAATGAACCTCACCACCCTCATGGCTTTGGATTCCAAGGAATATTAAAACTTCTACTATTCATTTTTCGATCATAATTAAGATTATAATCTTATAGATTCTATGTCATCCTTGTTTTTATTTCATTATTATTATTAGGTTCTTTATTTCCTTGTTAATTAGATCCCATAATTGTATATTCATAATTTTTAGACTTAAGTGGGAAAAAAAATGTTGATTTGATTGGTGTATTAATTATTATGTAATAAGTGGGAGAAGATGTAAATTTACTTTGGTGTAATAATTATTATGTAATTTGTATATGTATGTGATGTGCCTAAGGTTAAGATATCGGTCCACTAAGATCGTCGATTGAACCGCCTCATTTCGATCGTCTTGTACCATGAACCAGATCAACTTGCAACACGGTGACAGGGGCACCCTCATGGCGTAGACACTTTGACGTTCAAGTCAGAAATCTAATTCTCAAATTGTTATTTTCAAAGTATCGTGACAAAACTTATATATTGAGAGCTAGAAAATGAAATACTTGTATTTCTTATTTATAAGGAATATAAAATTTGTTCCCCCAGACAATGGATTTCCTTACTAATTATTGAGTCTAATCCTTCATAATCAAATTGATTATATATATACACATACTTGCTTAAATATCTCTTATAAATATTTCCTAAATCTTCGTAGGTATTTAACTAATACCATGTATCTTTAAATCGTAGAAGTCGAGTCGAACCGAGCTGATATTATGCGTGTTACATCATTTAGTTTCCCCACTCTAGAAGAGCTTGTTAGCGTAAGACTCATCTAAGAGTAAAAAACTCATTCCCTGGTCAAGTCTATTTCGTACGACTATCGCGTCGAAGTGATGACTCGTATGGTCCCCACGGGTCTATTACATTGGAGTTCTGCTTATGCCTAGGCAGTACATGCCTAGCTGCCCAGAGTCTTCTTACCATATATTCTCTTATGGAGCCTTTAACTTGGGACCCACTCAAAATAAACGACCAAGAGTGTACTAGTTTTTATAGCTATCGGGCTCACAAGCTCAGCTTTACGCTACTCTTATTTCTTGTTGTCGGGTGTAATAGATGCCAACCGTATTATCTTGGACTTATGTCTTCTTATCCGTTTAAGTTGTCGAGCTCGAGGGCTCGGCCTTATGTTATTGGTTACGCTATAGTTTTATTTAGTTGTCGAGCTCGAGGGTTGGCGTTATGCTGGCTAAGGGCTTCTGGGTTCTTACTTGGGGCTGTTTCACTTAAAAATTTTAGCACTTGAGTTCTTACTGAATACCTTTGATAAAGCAAATCTGGTTGCAATAGCTTCTGCAATCATCTGGTTGAGTTCATCCATGGTAAGCATCACAACCTGCTCGCCTATTGGAACACCTTCTACTGCTTTTGGTGACCTCCTTCCACCTTCCTGAGGTAGAGTTTTTTGTGCCAAAACTATTGATACCATCTTGGTACCCGATCTACCCTCCGGCTGGTCGGGCCACTAGTTGTTGTGATGGACGGAAGAACCTCCAAAACTCGATTTGATCCGTCCTTGAACCAGTGAAATGACCTGCAAAACAACATCGGGGGTTGTCCCGGCTAGAAGCTACGACTCTCAAGTCAGGAAACAAGGATGGAGATGTATTGTATGTATATGGGTCTAGAATATTAAGATGTGCAGAGAAATGATGATCATAAATCCCCCCCTCCCCTTTCAAGAGATGTTACCTTGTTGCCAAATATCTGCCCGAACTTGCTGCCTAAATTCCTGAACTACCTGATCACACTGCTCAAGTGCTCAGATTGCGCAATTATGTTACACACGTGTCCTTCTTATCCTAATTATATTCGTATTTATCCATTATCTGGTGTATCCACATTTGCTTCCTGGGTGTCGGTCGGGGTGCGTACGTAAGGGGTGTCGTTGGGCTGGCAGTGAGGGCGTCATTAGTAGTAGTTTTTGTTGTGTTCTGGTTAGGGTTGGTATTCTACTGTGTGAAATTTGTTTTATTCTCATATTGGGAGTTTCAGAGTCTTGTTTTTACTTGTTCTAGTATTGGTTTCAGGCGACCTCCGACTCTGTCATCCCACTAGATTCGATTTTTTAGCTGCTCTAGTCAGTTGTTAGGCTGTTTCTAGGTGTACGTATTTGTTATACTTATAAGGGTTCTATCGTTTCGAAAAAAGAAGTTTTATATGGTTTATATGTGTACTTTAGTCAAAGCAAATATTAACTTAACTAGGCCCGAAGTTCGGCCCCGAACCCAATTTTACATCTCTTGGGCGGTGGCCTAATCTAGATTTAGCGTTGGGCTCGGTCTCAAAACTCTGATGAAGCCCAACCCATTTATAATTCTTGGTCAAAGCCGTCAAAGTCTCCATCCCACGAGCCAGAGTTCAGCTCGAATCTAGCTCTAGCATACTAGCATTCGCTTCACGGCCCGCTTATTCAGATTTTTCCAATTTCATGGCAGATGTTCGAATCGGGTAGTCGCAGGGGAGAATTTTTTTTTTTCTTTTTTTTTTGGTACAATAAAGGAGACTGTAGTCTTAACGTAACACCTGACGAGGGTATGAGACCCCTAAATTATCATGTTCAAGCCAAAGGCATAAACCTAATGGCGGAGAAGACAACCTCTGGAGCCCGACGGGATATGATTCGGCCACACGCGCCATGTGGTCCGTTGCGAAGTTAGCTTCCTGGTGAATATGAGTAAGTTTAACCGACCAATCCTTTTTAAGAAGATCACAAATTGCCCGAATTAAAGCGTCAACGTGATGTCCATGCCCATTAGCCGATTCGGACAGCACGTTCGTAATTTCTTGATTATCAACCTCCGCCTCGACGTGTCGATAACCAAGGTCCCAAGCCAACGCCAAACCGTGAAACAGTCCCCAACATTCGGCTTCTATCGTCGTAGGTCGCCCCCATATTTAGAACAAATCCACCAAGCCAGTTCCCCTCGCCATCGCGTATAAGTCCTCCAGCCCGACTCCACTCACCGGTGCAATTATCATCTATACTAAAATGAGCAGGGTTCCGAGATTACTTGATCTATGCATGGCCGCCATAGCTGATGAACTTCTCCAAGGTATCTATCTGTGGGTACTAACGTGAAATTTTAGTATAGATGATAATTGAATTTTTCAGTTTTCGGGTTTCTGAATTGGTTTTTGTTGCCGTTTCTTTGGGTTGAAGGGGATGAGAACGGCGATATGATTTCGGTTATTTATGAGCTCCCATCAGAGTTGTTCGAGAGTTTGTTGCCGCACCTGCCTCCGTTGGCATTACAGAAGTTACAGGAAAAGTTGTGAGTTCATTAACTTCTTTTTCTTCAACTATAGCATTTATCTATTCATCGCCGCCGGAATATGCGAGAATCGTAATTGAGATGGAAACCTTAGTAGGGAAAGTAGGATTTTCAGCTCAGGGAAAAATTAGTAAGGTATCTGCTCAAAAGGACTGTCTGGAACATATTGATTACTTACTGAGGTGCTACTATTTGTGTCATTCTTAATTTACCTTATTGATTTATTTTAGGCCCTCGACATATTAAATGGAGTAGTGTTGCCACAAAAACCATTGAGAGCCTCTCAACCTAAAGCAAAACGAAAGGAAATTGTTCGTGTTTTTGTTGATCGTGAACTTAATGCGAGCCATATAGTTAATATTCTTTACTTGAAAACTATATTTGTTTTAATTTTGAATGTTTTACAACATATAGTTAATTTCGCAATTCCTTTTTGACTTATTCAAGAGCTGTCCTTTTATTTTATTGTCTATGAGCTTTTGATCTTAATAATTCTGGTGTTTTATGCATGTATTTCCACATCTCAGGAAACAAAATGTAAATTTCCACATTCTGCATCATTGATTTGGAGAATAACAGGCATTGAACTACCATGCTTGAGATTAAGACTTTTGTCTGCTTGTGTTTTATTCGAGATCAGCTCAAGGCATGGAGAAGCCCATGATTGCTTGCTATTTTATCTGACCATCATTTAACATGTATATAAACTTTTGCCTGGTTCTCGTCTTCATACAGGCCATTTAACTTCAGAGATAACTTTGACCCTGTACATGATTACCAAAGAGACTCTCGAAAACGTAGAAGGTTCGATTTAACTGTATCTGGTATTGCAAATGCATGTATTACGTGTCTGTAGAAAGTAATTTGTCGAAGTATCAGTAAGAGCCTAGGGTTTTTAACAGATATGGGGTTTTAGATAAAACATGGCGTTCTCTTCATAAAGTTCGTTGGCCGGGTTTTTGTCACGAGGAGCTAGCCATGGCTCAGCTGAATAAAATTGATCATGCAGAGGGTGACTCTATTGATGATTGGCAGCAGATGTACTGGGAGGCACATTTGCAAGAGTATGCTCATTATTCAAATAGTTTATGTGAGAATGTGTTTTTCAATTGCAACCGCTTTCTCTATTATGGTTGACCTCCATGTTTGTGTTACCAGGTGTGTGGATTCTGTAGCAGAAACAGCTTTGCTCCCATCTTATGATGATTCTATTGGGGAAATACAAATTCCAGGTTTGCTTGTCTTGCCTTGCCTTCTTTGCTTCTTGATATCCTCAGAGCTCAAGTGGATAGGGCATATGAATTCATTGGGAAAAATATTATTATACTGATTAGTAATATGAGGGTGGATTAGCTTTTGAAGTCCAAATTTTTAAATTTATTCCATTCTTTTCCATCATGCTTCATCTTATGCATTATTTTATGCTTGTAATAGCAACAAAGTTCCATTCTTTACTTGCCACAATCTTTCATGTCTCGCCATAATATTATGTTAAATCTTATTCTTTATTTTATATGTTTGAAGATTTCGTTTTGTGTGTTCATGGATGAGGAGAAATGCCGAACGTATTGTGCATATAGAATGAAGCCTGAAGCAGTTTAATATGATTTATTGTATACAGATGGTATACTGGAGCATATTGGTTGCAAGAGTCGCCTGGTTAAGTTGACAAACGACTGTATCAAGTTCTCTTGGCACTGTCAGAAATTTGGAATTTATGCCAGGTACCGTAGAAAGTAACAAAGCAGGTACTATGGAATGTAATAACCCTCATAATATTCATTAATAAATTCAACAACTGGACTACTTCTCTGTAAGCTGGGCTGCTTTATTTGATGTTACCAAAAATTGATAAAAGAAACAAATTCATTATTCTATATTCTTGTTCTGCTAACTATAAATTTCCTATACTAGAGTTAGTGCATTTCTCGAGGTCCCCAGTACTCCCTGTTTTGTGATGTTATATAAGGATACTAGTTCTGTTGTGATCCATTTGTTTCTGTTGCAGACAACTAAGACTTCCAAATGCACTATGTGTTGCTGAAACTTGTGTAAGTTGCAAATTTGTTTTGTTATATATCAAGGGACCATGTATTGAGGGGCTCGATAAATAAGAATGAAAATGTGTTTTTACGATATCAGCTGTTATTGCCCCTCACTAGAACTTCAATGTATTTTGACTCGTAGAACATAGTGCCCAATGCATTTATTCGGTATTACTTATGGAAGTTTTACTGCTTGCAAAAAGTATTAATCTTCTTCTTCTCCTTTATGGAACCAAGGTTGTTGTAATTTTGTAAGTGGACTAGTGAGCTCCTATCCTTGATGTCGATGTATTCATGGTGTCTAGCGATTCCATGTGTATGCTGCTTGCCAAACATGAAATTTTCTTTTAGAGAGATTTTTAGGGCTGAATGCCTGAGCTAGTGTCGAGTTGTGATTACACCTTTTTGCCTTTTCGTGGCTCTATGGTAAACCTGAACACGACTCTACAACTTTCCATTTATTGTTTTTTTTTTAAGTTATTTAAAGTTTCTTTATTTTTCATAGAGATTGTATCATCTGTTATAATGTCTTAAAGAAATGGATAGACTGCATCCTTTGCACATGACTTATTTATTTCATAAATTTTATCAGTTATTGTGGAGAAAATTGAGACTATTTTTCTCATCAAGAAACATAATTAACTGGAAATGAATCATATTCTACTTATGTTTATCAAATTAAACGCACATGAGATACATTAATTAAAGTTTTGTCAATATAATTCTTTTTCATTAACTTATCTCGTACAGGATCTGTTACAGAGCAGTAAGTTGGGAAGCCTGGAACTTCAGTGGATCAAATCCAATGATCATGCAAGTCCTTTTTTATTTTTATTTTATCTTTTTTTCTGCACCTGTAACTTGTAGTGTTACCAAGTTTCATAACAGATGAAAAAGCCTAAGGGTCCTTTTGGATGGATTGTTTGAAAATAAAAGATGTTAAATCCAGAATAACAAATCCATTGCATTTGGTTTGTTACAATGAATTTCAAATCTGTTGACTAGTTATGGAGTCATTTTGAATGATTTCAAGCTCTTCATATCTGGAGACTCTTGAAATCATTACATCTTAATACTGCCCGAAAATCCAAATCTCCAATTCAAATGCTACTTAATGGAAGAGGACTAAGCAAACAAGCTTTACACATGCACATACTCACTATAAGATGAGTTGTCGTGGTCTCTTTTTTCCAGCTTGCTTTATTTAGTAGTTGTAGTGCTGATTCACCAAACATAACCTCTCAGGTAGAGGGATTGTGTAAACTTTTAAATCAGAACAGCGAGACTCTGAAATCAATTGACTTCATCCATTGTAAGCTTTCTCCGACTCTCATCAATGCTATTTGTGATTCCCTGCACATGAATGGTCTTCGATCACATGGAATTGAGCATTTCTTAATCAAAAGATCAAGCTTCCTTCAAAGTGACTCATCTCCTGTTCCAATTGGATTGATATCTTTCTTAACATCTGGAAGGTATGCACTGTTTTTGATTCAATATACTCAAGGTTAATCATTAAGGGCATAGTCAATAATCTTGTTCCACCTTATTTGTCTTGTCTTCCCTGATGGTTGTATATCAATAGGAAGTTTACTATGAAGTATTCACTAGTACAACAACATACCCAGTATATTCCCAACTGGTTGGGGTCTGGGGGGTCAGTTGTACGCAGATTACCCTTGTAATTATACGAGGAGGCTGTTTCACTAGTACATTGTGCAATTTACGGTTTGCATCTACCTTTAAAAAAATTGGTCTTACTGCTTGTATAACTGCCTTGGCTCTGATGATCTTGCATGGACCATGCCGCCATGTCCAACTTTGTCATGCTTTTCTATCTTTCACATAATCTAAACGTGACTGTTTTAGATGTTTAAAATTTTAGACGAATCATGTATGGTTCGAACACTTCACTTTGTTTTGTATTGTGTTTATGAAATTGTTTCCAATAGTATGATCCTAGTCTTTCTCAGACATATGTCAATATTACAGAACTGTCTTGTGGAACTTTCACAGTCGTTTTTGAGTGCCTGAGTTTAGAACACCTTGGAGTCGAGTTTCGCTTTGCTCTCCTGCTTAAAGTTCTGGGCTTCAGATGCCATTTTACTATTAGTTTTTACTCCTTTGGTATATACCTTTCGCGATGAGAGTGGTCATGTGATTGTAGACTATGGCTCAAACAACTGTACATACTTGATTGTTTACGTCTAGCTTTGCTTTTTTTTTTTTTTTCCCCTTCTGTTCCATGTACTTGATTCACCATCTTAATATGCTTTTTTTTTTCATTATATTGAAGTTTGATTACTATGATATGGCAACGTCAAATTCAGATTTTGTTGTTATTAGGATCTAAGCTCATTCATGGCAGGTCCTTGCTTTCACTAACTTTATGTGACAACCAACTGGGCCGAAACTTTGCAAGAGTGATTTTCAATTCCCTCATTGATGCTTCAACCGGTATATCCAAGCTAGACCTTTCAGAAAATAATGTTAGTGGGGGCATGACTTGATTATCCTTTATCTGCCTTAGATTGATTATCTTGTACTCTGGTAAATTAGCCTGATGCGCTATTGCAGATATCCGGCTTTCTTTCTCAATTTCGATGGAGATCATCAAGTATCTCGCTTGAAATGTGCAAGTCATTAAAATCACTTCGGATGCTCAATTTAAGGTAAACCTTATATTATTAAAGTGTATATTTGACTGAAATATTTATGACACAGTTCCAAAAATCAATCAAAGTGTTTGCCTAGGAGCTAGGCAGCTCTCAAGTGGCCAATTTTATCCTAGGTGGCCCGTCTAGGTGCTTGGGAATAAGACAGTGTCTAGCAGTGTTGTGGCCGAGGGAGCCAGGTGACCGCTTAATTAGTCACGTCTTGGCTACCTGGGCAGTCTGTGCTGCACCTAGGCCGCCATTTTGTTTCCTTAGATTCTTCAGTTTACTTATAAACAATAATGAAATGGTTGGGCATATTAATTTTGAAATTTAAAATGAATAATTATTATTTTAAAATTAATCCAATAGTTGTGAACTGGATAATCTTTGTGTTTGACTATACTAATTAGTATATTTCGTATGATATATATCTTACGAGTTATGTATGATGGGAAATGTAAATATATCTATCAATATTTTTATGACTAAGCCCTAGTCGTTCTGGGCCTGGGCCCTTCTTTGTCGCCTAGCGATTTTTATAACATCACTTTATTGCTTACGTGAGCGTATTCGTTATATTTTACGAGTAACTTGCTATTCGATTGTCTAATTTTGGTCATTTATTGCATCTCAACTGATGACCATTTTGCTATGTTATTTGAGCATGCAATAGAACTTTGGTGTGAACTTTGTTTATCTAATAATCCTGTGCAAATTTTAAAGTTTGATGTAATTTTCAGGTCCTGTAACTTAGTAAGAGATGATGCAGAGTGTCTTAAACAGGCTCTCGTTCACATACCTAATTTGGAAAATCTTGATCTGAGTGACAATTTAATTGAAGATGGAATCAGGTAGGTTGGCATTCTCGTCTCTTCTCCCTCATTAAATATCTGGACTTTTAGCTACACTCATTATCTTGATATTGCCCTATGATCCGTTAAATTCTTGTACATGAATATTTGCGCCTCCATGGCCTGAAGCATTGATTTATATATGCTTGACTGGTAAATGATTTTCAGGAGTCTGTTAAGCTATTTCAAAGAGATCTCTGGCAGAGGCTTACCCTTTGCTGATTTGAAGCTTGAGAATTGTGAGCTTACCTGCGAGCATATTATTGAACTTTTAGGAGCTCTTTCAAATATGAACAAACCGCTTAAATCGCTCTCAGTTAAAGGCAATAGGCTTGGCAGGTATAGTTTCAAATAGATGTTATCCAAGGTGTTTTTGTGGATGAATTGTCACAATATTTCTTTCATCCAGCAAAATCGGGGCATCGTTGGGAAAATTTTTGTGCACTGGTATTTGTTCCCTTGATGTTGAAGACGTAGGACTTGGCTCCTCTGGTTTTCTGGAAGCAGGAAGAAATATTGCAAGAGAACTGAAGATTGTTTATATCAATATAAGGTTCACTTAAAATTAGACTCCTCTTTCTATTATTTCCCACGATTCCCACATGTTATTTGTACTTGATCGCCTGACAATGTAGTTTTGCAGCAATAACCAAGGTGGTATTGAAGCTGCGAAGTTCATTTCAAGCCTTATTTCACATGCTCATAAGATCGTTGCAATTGATGCAAGATATAACGTAATGCCGTTGGAATCGCTATCCGTAATATCCTCTGGCTTGAAAGCCTTCAAAGGTGGCTGATCTTTCTTACACATCTTTTCACTATTCTCAGAATTTCAATGTTTTTATGGCTAATTTACAAAATTACCACTGAGGTTTAGTCTAAATTACAAATAAAAATAATTTATCTATCTATCTATATATAAAAATGTTGTTGATTAAATCATATATAGAAACTTTTGACCAAAAAGTAAGTCATTTGACATACTATATATAGACAATTTGAGAACACCAATAGAAACCGAAATACACTCAATTCAAAACGCAATACACGCTTCCAATTAGTTCATTCAAAACATGCAAAAGAATTTCACATTAAATTAAACACTTTAAAGATTTTAGAAGTTTGTCTGTTACCGAAATACATGATTTTAAAATGAATGACATTTCAAAACATGCAATTAAGAGTTTCACTTAAATCAAAACACTTGATTTCAATTTCTGCAAGTTAAATTTAATAAAAGTGGAGACCGAAATACACATTTGAAAACATCAAATTAAGAATTTGAATTTAATAAAAACTCTTGATTTCAAGTTTCTGCAATTTAGAATATTTATTAATTGCTATGGAGCCCAAGATACAATTGAGAACGTGCACTTAAAAGTTTAAAGTAAATCAAAAAACTTGATTTTAATTTCTTCATTTGTATTTTATTATTACACTTGACAATAAATAACTAACAATTAATATAATACGCTATAGATACCTGTTTTAATAGGAACTATATAATATAAAAACTTAATAAAAGAGGACGTAAATTACATTCAACAAAAAAAATACATTGCCAAAATAAATTACAATAACATCACAATTCCTAAAAAATTGTACTTTAAACAAATTACATCGCTCACAATAATTAAAAAAAACAATTAAATAACATAATTACTATGGAGCCCAAAATACAAACATAAGTCACAACAACTAAAACAACACAATTAAATAACATAATTACAATAAGAGTCCCTAATATTTAACATTTAATAATATAATAATATATTTTTAATATCATGCTATTGTACAAATAGAATTTCATTTCATGAGGAGAGACGTGCAGATTACTAAGTCAATCTTTCTACACGAAAAAAAAAATTCTAATCTAAACTAATTAATTAATTATTATTCAATTCATCTTGACTTATCTTATCATCAAATTATAATTTGAAAATTAATCAAATAACATTTAGAAAACATAATAAATAATGTAAGTGTCTTAGAAATTTAACATTAAAATAATATAATGGGACACAATTGGTTGTGATAAAGCTATCCACTCATGTTATTGAGCGTAAGATACTCACAGGAGATCATGATGGTGATAAGGTGTTGATTCTCATAATGACCTAATCCTTATATCATGTTGGCTTATTTCTTAAGAAACCATTGTTCAGTTATGACCAGTTATATGTTGATGTATCTCGTGAAAAGGTTTGAAAATCTTAATTTGTGGCGAAGATGACGTGCCAAAGAATCAAACCAATAATGTTGTATATACGGAAATGTTTGATCTTTTCAGTTTTATATGTATATTTTTATGACCATGATCATTGCATTATTACACAATTTATATACAAATTTGTCGTCTAAAAAACGCATAGATAATAATTTCCGCGTGCATCGCACGGGTAATTACTAGTAATACATAAAATGGAGATACCTTTCCGAGTCGCCAATAAATACCCCAAGTTATGTTTGTTTCTACTCTATGAATTACATCATGGTAAGAGTGAGTTTGTTCATAAGGGCAATGTCAAGGCAGTAATATATATACCTAGAGAAGGGTATTTTGGTTATTCACCCATTAGTATTTTGCTCATATGTTCCATTTTCAGGAAATTTAGAGCATCTGGACTTGGGTGGAAATTGGTTGTGTGACCAACTTGCTGATGCAACGTCTGTTTTGGCTGAACTTCAAAGACATGGACAATTTTCCTTCAATCTTCTACTATCGACTGCTCCGAACGTACCATATGATGACGACCCTTAGGTTTACCCGGGTACACTTCTCGACTATTTTAAGAATGATTGTGTTGATTTTTGTTTTTGTTTTTCTTTTTTTCCCTGAGGGCTGCTTTCAGTAAAAGCATATATGAAAAAGCAATGCAATAGTTGAAACGAAAATGACATGTGTCACCATTTGATTTGGTGCTGATTACATTTTTGTTATTCACATCATCACCTATATACCTCATCTCACAGCATATCTTTCACTATGTAATATTTTGGATTTTGTTCCATTTGGACTTCATTATTACTATTGGAAGAGTTTTCAGCTGGTGTTTTGTTTTGTGACTGATTTTTTTCACCATTCACTTATTAGTATGTTCACTCTTAACGCGTGAAGCATTCTTTTTGGACAAGCCATGTCAGAACTGGGAGAAGAGGGTGTGGTCCCACCAGGTGAAGCGCACCATAAGAAGAAGGGTGAGTCTAGGTGCACCTTAGTGAGGTTCCATTCCGAAATCAATTGGTGATGGGAGGAGTAGCCCACAAGGCTTATAAACTAAGCTCATTTAACCTGTAGAATCAATGTGGGACAATTCACAAGTGATATTCTAACATTTCTCGAGCATCATTTTAAAGTTACATTGTGTTTCTTACTAGTTTACCTTGTGAAAAGTGGTATCCCCAAGAAGCAAGCATAGCTGTAAAGGTCAGTCGATAATTAACAAACATAAGCCCGGCATAATAAAGCGACATGAAAGTAATGTTTACTTTTTCTTTTTCTTTTTTTTATTCTGTGGTTATGTCCAAAACTGGTTGTTGGCCTGGCTTTGTCATGAGGTTGGTTTCACTTGTGTTTTCATTTCTATTTTATTCCAATCAAGCCCGTGGATCTTATCTCTTATATATCTACCTCTAAATTTTAACAACAATGATGCGATGGATATTATTGAAAGTATGATTATAGTGATATCCTTTTCTTGGTGAAACTAATTTTCAATGTTCTGGTTGGATTGGTCTTGTTGATACTTGCTTGTACTCTTAAAATATATTAAAAAAAATATTCAGTTGCATGGATAATCATTATTATAGTATGTGTAGGCATGACCAAAACCCGGATCGGGCCGAGCCGTCGGGCTCGAAAACATTGACCCGGATCTGGCACGGACCTTTACATGTGCCGGGCCAATGGCCCACTTGACCGGGCCTGGCCCGTCATATATATAAAAAAAAAAATAGAAAAAGCATGTCACCAGGCCGGTTCATGAAATGAATGACCCTAAAACAACCCGGCGAAAATCCAGTCCGGTCCCCGAACCCATGGTTAACGAGTTTGACCGGGCCGGGTTCGTGCCGGGTCAACGGGTCGGGCGGCTCTTGGCCATGTCTGTGTGGACTCGATTTAGTTAAGAACCCGCACTAACGGTCTTGGTTCAAACACGATAAAATGTGTAAACCTGCACTGACGGTCTTGATTTACACATTAATAAGTGAAAAATCTGCACTAACAACCTCGGTTTTCCACGAAGGCAGTACTCGGAAACGAGTCTTTTTCTTAATTTTTATTACTTTCATCTTCTTCTTTTACAATCATGAGTACATGCATTTTTGCAGCTTAAATCTAAACATTCAAATATTCAAATTGTAACTAACATATAACTAACCACTCAATCATTTAAATTATAAACTAACATACTAATCTTATCTAAATACTTGACATACATAACTAAAGTTAACTACTCCTGCCATCATCCACGTGAACCGATACCCACTCGAAAGTTCGGTTTGCATCAGTCACACACAATTAGAGAAAGAAATAAAATCTGAAAAATGCGTATGAGAAAATGATCGTTGACGCCAAAAATTGGAAAATTGGCCAGAAAAATTATAGAAGAAATCAGAAAAAAAAAAAAAAAAAAAAAAAA